TTGAGGTGACTACGGTGGTGAACTAGCACCACATAAATGAAAATCAATTGAATTTATCGTCGTAGTTGGGTGGAAGTTAATGCTCTGTATGTTTCATGCTGAGTCAAGTTTAAAGTTTGCTTGCTTGCAGAACCTCTGGGAGAAATATTAATCCTGTACATTTTCTCATTCTCATGTCAGTTGGCTGACCCACTATTTTTATCAGCTTAAGAAACATGATCATTCCACTGTGTATAAGGCCAAATATGCTCAGGTATACTATGTATGTTTTCACCATACCTTTTCTCAATGGAGATGAAGACAGTGCAGGTGTGTGGAAAGTTGCTGCAGAGTCGGTGCAGTGTTCGGAATAGGCCATCCGTCAGATCATCATCATAACAAACTGGTGACACATTAAGAAATCTAATTATTGCTGAGCCTCTGCATTTGACGGTTCCATTAATGACTCTAAAGTCTGAACTTAAAGCTGTCTCAGTAAATAACTGCTTTTTACAAATCGCTTCACGAGTTGCTTCAGTTGCTCAGCAGTCTGGAGCCTCCTTTTCCACATACAGTATCTCAGTAGTTCACACTGTGTGCTACTCTGGGCTTTGCATGGTAGTGTTTCTGACAACGAACTGGTGCTTAAACCTCGCTGTGAGGCACATAATTTTAAAGGTTTGCCCACAGTGTCTTGTCTAGAACCTTCCCACCTTTTTCAGTAACTCTTTCAGAGTAGAGCATACATGGTGAAAAAGAGCTCTGATCTTTTAGAGATGTCATCCTTAAGACTTACCATCAGCAGCAATTATGATGCTAGTGTTATTCAGATCTGCTACCTCCTCCTTTGTCCAACTAAACTCCACAGCAGCATCTGCAAAGATCAGACAAAGGAAAGTAGTTATCGTACTGGTTTCTAGTTCGGTGTATTGGTGGTTAACCAATCAACTCATACATCCAAACTGGAGACTAAAGTCTGTTACATCCATCCAGCCATTTTGCGGTCAAGCAGGCCGCATTCTGCGCAGAGAAGCCCAGTGTTCCCTCACTCCACCCACCACCTCCAGCTCATTGAGGTGGGAATCAAGATTTTTCCCAGCCAGCCACGAGATGAATCTCTCCAGCGAGTCCAGACTCCTGAGTCCCGGGCCTCTTCCCAGTAGGACACGCCAAGATTACCTCACCAAGGAGGCATCCTAGTCAGATGCCCAAACCACCTCAACCGGCTCCTTTCAACGTGGACGAGCAGAGGCTCTAATCCGAGTTCCTCTTAAAGAATCAAGCTCCTCATCCCATCTCTGAGGGAGAGCTCAGCCACTCTTTGAAGGAAACTCATTTCCGACGCGTGTATCTGTGATCATAGGTGAGGGTAGAAATGTAGACTGACTGATAAACTGACAGCTTCGCTTTTATGCTCAGCTCTGTCTGTGCCACAGCAGATCAGTACAGCATCACTGCAGACGCCACCTCAGTTCCTTCGTTATTCTCTTGCTCCCCTCACTTGTGAAAAAGACCTCTGAGATACTTGAACTCCTGCACTTGGGGCAGTATGTCCCCGGGGCCCTGCCACTGTACAGCCGTTTAACCTAGTCAGTGGCTTCACCCCCAGTGATGGTGGTATCTACCACCAACAGGTTGATTTCACACAACTTCTCTCTGCATAGTGCGAGGATGTTCTCTTTCCATCTGGTCTGCTCCAAGTGCATGAATGTCACTTTGAACATGAAGATCCACAGCAGCCTGACCACAGTGAAGCCACAGCTGCTCTTTTCCTTTATCGCCTGCTTGGGGCAGTGGAGCTGCTACAGCCTGTTCCAGCTGGTGCCAGCATGTGATCCAGCTTCCACAACTCACCGCAATCTGCCAAAATCAAGCCACAGACTCTCTGCTTCCTCTGGTGTAAGGAAACACAGACAGCCAGTCCTCCAACACCTGAGATATTTCCCTTCTTTACTCAAAGAGACCTTCAGATAAATACTTTTACTCTGACAATAACATTCATTCTATACTAATTTAATGCTTGCTACTTTTTTGTATAATGCAAGTAGGACTCAAAAAGCATAAAACATAACTGTGATTGGTCTTTTTTCATTATCTAATCTTACAGTCACAGTAAACTTGTAATAAAGAATAAAGAACATTCTTAGAAAGAAGTTTCACAGTAAAGGTAGCAAAGGTTTCTGACCTCTGAGATGTGGCCCTGAGGTAAGCTTGCACAGGCATTGGTTGGTCAGATGCAGGTCTTAATAACAGTGACAAAACGTTGAATATAAATGTCTCTACTGAAACTCTGCTTTAGAGGATGGAATAAAGGGAGGAGACAGCCCTAAAGACAATCACCGTTTTTCCTCAATCCATCTCTGCGTATCCAAGCAA